TAAGTGTAGTGTGTAGGCCGGATTATACACAATTTGTATTGTTTGTAACATGCATTTAGTTGTAAAAATGTTATACCATCTGCTAATTTAATGTGGAGGAAAAAATACCACACCAGTGTTTTGTTGCCAAGCCTGAGCAACACATTCTTTGTATTTTAAGCAAAAATGTAATCCTTGAGTTATGAAAAGTTCTAAAAGTAGGATTCAAAAGTGTGTTCTAGATTTTAATTATTAATTTCATGCTGTAATTCTAAATTTTGTATATTTAAAAAGATGGAGAAAAAAAGAGAATATCATATTCAAATCTAAGTGTGCCATTTTGGCCATTAGAGATGCCATAGCCATTAAATTTCGTACCTCAGCCCCAACCATGGTGGGGCTGAGGTGTGTTATAGACCCTTGGTCTGTACATGGAAGTATTATTGAGAAAGAGATCACTCGGTAACAGATCCCTTTGACGCAACAAACCAATGTGTTCCTTGCCTTTGGATCGCGCGTGGGCGTGTTATCTTATTATTCACATTTTTTTGTTAGCAGCAACTTGGCAACGACATGCGTTTATACGCTTCAACACGGCAGTTGTGCGATAACCCGTTTGATTTTAACCCATTAAATATCTTTATGATTAATAGTGTTCTTGCCTCATTTGCATAGCGCTGCGTGCGCGAAGCTTTTTCGAGTGATCTTCTCAATAATACCTCCATGGTCTGTAGTAGTCTTGGGGCCCTTCTATTTTGAATTCTGTCACTGTATAGTGTTTCTAATTGACTGACTGAGATTTCAAGATTTTCCAATGCCTTATGCAATTCAAAACACTTTTTTCTTTGTACTTATACTGTGGTACATATATAGGCCCTACATATTCTAAAATGGTTGATGTGCAACTAACTTGAGTGGTGGTTTTTAAGTGCGTGCTTGTGGTAGAGTGGATCAGAGTTTGCATACTACAGCACAAGGAGTTCTTTGTCGTTGTTTATTAGACTGCCTAGTTTTTATTTTTAAAAAAAATGTGTCAACTCATATCTCCCAATTTTTTAGGCCGTCTCCCGCCCTCCCGATTTTTTTTATTAATATCTCCCGTTTTTTAAAAATATCCCGAAAATTTCACGAAAAAATGTAGGATTTGGAACTTGGAGAATCGGTGCATAAAAAAAACTTTTTCTTTTAAGTACGCTTCAGTTTTTAATAATAATACTACAAAATCGTAGTTAATAGGTTAATAGCAGTCTTCCAAAAAATGAAGGCCTAGGCTCTATCTGCACTGCAGGGTGTATGTGTGTTGTGTTTGGTGGGCGCCTTTGTGTAGTGGTGGTTGTGACTTAGCGGCCTTGGGCCTCGCACGTATAGATGGAGCCTAGCGAGGCAGGGATTAATGTTTTTTCATATGTACCAGTTATTATAGGCTAGACATATATAAATGCTGACTTAAAACATGTAACTGTAGTATGATTTACTAAATTAAAATATATATATTTTTAAAATTTCTCAGCAAACGTGTGTATCTTGCAAGTTGCAGTTATTTAGCTACAATTCTATGTTCTTTGAATAGATGTAGTAAATCAGCCATAGCCTCTAATATGCCAAGCATGAACCAAGCAAAGCCTTGTTGACTGCTGCCAAGAACACTCTACTAGAACAATGCTAAATAAATAATAATATTTATAAATTTTAGGCCAACAGCAATGTGTAAACAAATGCAAAATTGTTAAATAAAATTATACAAATTGATGAAAACAGTTTGTTTCCTTCTTTTTGTGTAACACTTTCATGTTGCGCAGCGCATTGTAAGGCATCACAGCGCGTCACTACAGGAGGCGATTGCTTCGCAAAAAAAATTTTCCCTGTTTTTCGGTTTTCCAACATGGGATCTCTGTCTTAAGAAGTATTTTTCAAGAGTAAAAAGTCTTTATTGGTATAAACAATGGGAAACCTCATTTTTCTTTGTCAATGTAGACAATGCATATTTCTAATAAATCATGTGTTTGGTTTGTCTTTTTTCAAGATAAAAAGTCTTTATTGGTATAAATAATGGAAACCTCATTTTTGTTTTTTTGTCATAGTAGACAGTACATATTTCTAAAAAATCGTGTTTGGTATGTCTTTCAGAAGTTTGGTGATTTATTCAAATTTCAAGAGGTTTGTTTTCAGAGCAATGTGACACAAAGAGGCCCTAATACTAGTGTAATAAATATAGTAATAAATCTTTAAAGCTATAAATATAATTAATTAAACAATTAAAGCAGTCCATTTAATGTACAGTAAAAGCCCGTCCTTTAGAATATCCTTATTAAGGGATACATTTTTCAGGTGTGAAAGCAAGGAAAATACTTCTTTTAGCACTACGACCAATGACATCCCAGTATTATGGGAAAACTTGTATTGGTTCTCTTGAAGGTGTCCTTTTAATAAGGGTACTAACTGCATTAGCAATGCCTATGCCTTACTTCATCAGATGCAGGGTATGTTGATATCTGAAAAACAAACATACTACTGTATATTGTAAGACTTTTCTAAAGCATTTTTTTAAAGATGTAAAAGCATTATATTTATATAAAAGTATAAGAGGACGAATTCAAACTTACCAAAGCAATGAACAGACATAATTTGTTTGATCAGATATTATATTACTATTACATATTGTTAATCAGACATTCTGTCTGACAGACATATACGTTATTTACACTCACTCAGTTGTTCAAACTTATTAAAGCAATGAACAGACACATAATTTATTTGATCAGATTGTCTGAAGTTATATTACCATTATATATTGTTTAATCAGACATTCTATCTGAGAGACACATACATTATTTATTCTAAGTTGTTTTCCTTCAAAAATTGTAACGTTACAAGATCATCCCTCGTTAATTTTAAATTGATTTGCTGTGCAAAGTCCAGTGCAATTCACAACATTCAGATTAGTTTGATTAATGATTATGATAGATATTAAAATACATAATTTATCTGAATTTATTGTTATCTACGGTATTATATTATAGTTTTTTATATGATACCTAAGTTGTACACATTTTTATTAATGATTATTAAGCTAACAAGCTGAATGTATTTGATAGGCCATCCCGATATCATTAAATGGAAAACAGGCTGGTTTGGAGTTGTTCTCTCATTGGCTAATGTTGATCACATGGATAATGTTCTAAAAGTCAACAAGCATAGTATAAATACTGTTTGCATTGTATATATTATATTCTAGCATTAGCATTACATTCTAACATTAATCACTGTCAGCCATTCATAAGGTAGAATGCATCAGGGTGTTTACTTTTTCAACATAATTAAAGCATAAATGCAGGCTTCCAATCAACCATGACGATAGAGGCACTTTAAGAGACAGCATTCAGACAGTAAATATTTATAGTGTTAATAAGTAACGACTATATTGATTATTATGCTATGCAATAGCAGTAGTAAATCTTTACGATCGTCAGCTCTGAACTTTGTGATCTTTTGTTTATTATTGTGTCTATTTGTGCGCGTATGTGATGCATAAGCTTGTAAATCCGTATAGTTATAAACTGTATGTAGTTAATACTTGACATGTAGACCTAATTGTGTCTATAACTTTTTTGTAAACAGTTTCATTTTTTGGTGAATATTGAAGCTATAGGTGATATATCTATATTCTGTCTCCATCCCTCAGTGACTTGTATTTAAAATATAAGTTTTATTCTGTGTGTCCGGTGGATAGAAATTGTGTTAATTCGGGGCTTGAAATTACACTAGCTTTCCAGTTGTTGACTGATAAACATCTTGGATGCTGGGTTAGATCAGTCCCAAATTTGGAAAAAAATTAAATTGGTATATCTTAGAAAAAATCCTGATAAAATAAAGAAAATTTTTTAATTACTTGTGGCAGGTCTTCTTTCAATCGAGTTCCGATTGGAAGCTGGACTGGCTTATTGTTGATTTTGTGTGGTTGGAGACAAAACCTAAAATTATAAACTGTTTGTTGTTCAATATCAGTCATAGGAAATTAATTATATTCATTAAACATTGGTTATGTAAGCTTTTCTAAATAACATATGTTTTTATATAGGCCTATGTTTTTAATATCTGAATATATAAACTCATAATATTGATCATCAGTGGAACGATGTTGCGCATCGGAAGTATACATTAAAAATTTAATAGGCTTATTTTTCGTCTCAAAATGGGGTCAGCATGTTCAGGGTTGACTTTATGGGTATTCAGCATAATGGCGGCACTGTCCTGATCGTCCTTCACTGGGGTCTCGCTTACAGTAAGTCTTCCTCCATTCTTTTATCTCATCAGTTTAGGTTCACGAAAGGTGAAAGAGGTTGTAAGAAATAATGAACGCCTTCATATGAATATGTATCCAAAATCCAAATGACAAAACACTACCAAATCCATTGTCGCCAGAAGAATTATAAGTTTAAATTCCAACAATAGTAGACTATTCACGGTTTGCTCGTAAAATTTGAAATGTTGGCTGTCATGGGGTTTGGATTTCATGGAGTTCATAATGTTGTACTGTATGTTTGATTGAAGGGCTTATAAATCAGTAAGAACTGCAGGATTGGTTTCTCCTCATTCAATTTGATTTATTTCTTTTTGTTGTCAACCTCTTGAGTAATTTCGAACTTCCGGGAGAGAATATATCCACTAATTTCTTTTGCTTCCCTGTCATAATAACATTAGGCCTACAACATGAATAATAATTAAGCTTATTTAAATCTGGGAATGCTGGTATCACCCTTCTAACCTGCCAAGTTTTGTTGTAATAATAGTAACATACATTTGAATGTAAAGCAAAACTGTAAATTAACATAATAATGCAAAACAAAAATACTTCAAACAAAAGTAATTTTATAGTATAGAGATAGATGTTTTGGCCTACCTGATATGTTATCGTAGTGAATACACAATGTGTTCCTCAAATACTTGCGAAAAAATAAGTCTTGTAAGTGATTCGGGTGCCGATACAGACTAATTCATTCAATGTCACATCATCCTACCAGGTACCCATTTATACTCCTGGGTGGAGAGAGACAAACATAGGTAAAGTGCCTTTGCCGGAGAACACAGTTGAAATTCACAGTGAAGGATTTAACCTCCGACTATAAAGTTGAAAGACCAAAACGCAATCGCTACGCCAACCGCTCCTATAAAAACTGACCAAGATAAACAAAGCAGCTACAGGGTTCTAAGGTAAAGCTTTGGTTGAGATGTCAATATTTGTTCACATACCTAAGAAGTTTCACGCCAAAAGTTAAATATCGCTTTTGTTGATTGTAAAACACTAACATTACAAAAGTTGGCCCTACATGAACTAGGAAACAATAATAAAGAACCAAAATGGGGTACTTGCAATGAGTGCATAACAAGTACTGTAAGTTAGTTTACACAAAGTTAATTTTTTTAAGAATAGTAAATAAATATATGCAAATAAAAACTAATCCAGTTCAAAGTGTTGTCAGAAAGAGAGCCATAAGTTTGGAGTAGTGGGTGGATCCATGTAGCCTCATTTCTTGCATAATCAATTATTGAAGGAGACAAATAGCGCCAAGTAGCTTAAGAATGTTGCTTCTGATGGCTTTGAAGGAAGTGGGTTTATTGAAGAGACAGTAAAGTTCAAAAAGTTATTGTCAGAAATTTAACCCATGGGAGGCAACCTCAAGATCAACGGAACCGCACCTCGTATCCGGAATTGAGTGTTCGAAACTAGGGGGAATATATTTTTTAGGGAATGTGTAGCTGTAAGTTAAAATAAGAATTTGTTTCTATATAAATTTATTTAATTTTTTCATTTAACAGATAATTGTACTTGCTGGGTGTGGCAAATGTAAATAGATTTTGAAATATTAAGTGAAATATATGTTACATTGACGTTATAACGGTTCTTAGAAGTATATTGCCAAGCAAAGTTTGGTGGAGGAAAAAAAACGCCCAAACTTAGAAGAAAACTTTGATTTTATTACTTATTTAGCAACATAAGTTAATTATTCATTAACTCCAGTTTAGTAGGGTTAAAGGGCTTAGTGGTTAAGCTGCTTGCCTTCAAATCCCAGGGTCCTAGGTTCAATTCCTGTCACAGCAGGACTTTCTCATCACTAAAAACAACTCCACTCCGTAAGCCTCATAAAGAGAGTTCGCTGATAAAAGCATCACATTATTTAATTTTAGGCGGGCCCCTGAATATCAGCTAAACTTCTAGTATATGCTGGAAGGGTCACCCTTTATAGATATGGTTAAAAAAAGAATCAAAAGCCAATATAATTCTTGTGGGGTCAATAAACTGAAGAAAGTGTCTGATCTGCAAATTTCCTGTCAAGCTCAAGATATGTCAGTCATAGATGGACACATTTGTTGTAACTTAGTGGGTTAATTCTTTTTACACCTTTTTTGGATATTTGTACTTGGGAATTTCTGTCTATTTTAGCCTGGGCTTTTTTAGCCTTTGCTATAGAGACCTAGTCACAGATCCATCAGATACTACAAACATTTGACACCCATGTTTATAAGTCAAAAGATGATTGGGACAGTTTGTGATTAATTGACCTGTGTTGATCAGCCTGACACTATTGGACAATCTGTAGCATTTTGACCTATGTTCAGTGTCAAATTATGTAACATCATTGACACCTTGACTTTCGATGATTAGTGCCCAACATTGATTACTGTACAAAAATATTTATTATATAATATAATTATATAATTCTTTTCTCTTCTTTTTTGTTTCTTAATTATTGTTAATAATATTTAATAAACGATAATAGAATATGAACAGACACAGAGGAATAATAATAATTATATAACTTTTAGAGTACAAATTGAAATGAAAAATAATAAAAATTAATACTAAATTTATAGACCTTAGGCCTAACCTAGACATGCATTACAATGTATATTCTATTTAATACAATAAGTTTTTCTCAAAGCCGAAGTTGGTCTTGACCACTCTAAAGTCACTACTGAGGGCGCTCTTCACAAAGGCTTCTACGAGTGGATGTGTTGTGCAGTACAGCATGAAGTCGTGTCCATACCCAGTATGTACGCCTATAGAAAGCTGATGAGAATCTTAACACTTTTGGACACAGTTTATAGTTACTTTCTCTATTAATCACACCGTTGGATACACTATAGCTGGTTGAATTTGGTGTTGATTGTACCGCTAGCTGCATACAAAGCTGTTATTATGACCAACACAGAGCTATCAATCAAACCTAACTGCCTATTGCCACTGTTGACCCCCTCTTCCCTAGCACATGTTCTGTACACTAGTCAAAAGTGGATGGCACCCTAATCTATAGGTAGATTGTGTAGTGAATATAATAATCAATATCAACTCTATACTACTGTAATGATAGTATTTACCATTTTGGCAAATTTTGGTACAAATTTTTTTTGAATGGGTCCACTTTTTTAAAAATGGGTCCAAATTATGCAATTTTATGTATAAAATGAGCTCTTTTTTCTAAAAATGGGTCTAGATTTCTCGTATTTAGTCTAAAATGGGTAACATTTTAAGGAAATTAGTCGAGATATTTCATATTTTTGCGTAAAATGGTTCATATTTTAAGAAAATGGGTCCACATTGTTTGAATTTAAAGGTAAAGTGGGTCCCCGGATAGTGTCCCGCACTGTTTGAAAATCCAGGCTACGGCATTGATTGAACTGTATGTTCTCATTCCTTTTCAAACACAATTCAAGATCTTTATAAGTTGTTCTGCTTATTCCATATATCACCTCATAAACCTATTTTAGAATGCAACATTTTTGTGGGATTTTTGTTATATTGTTATGATGCTGTGCTTAACCTATTTCAGAATGCAACATTTTTGTGGGGTTTTTTGTTTATATTGTTACGCTGTGCTTTAACCTAACATGACTGTAGGTATAGTACAGCAGGAATTCCAGACAGATTTATAGCAAATTTGAGGTGATTATGGTCATCAGCTGTTTAGAAATAGTTTGTTTTGATTGGTCTTTGGGAATTAAATAGCGACTTTTGATTAGTTGGATTAGAAATAGACTGGGTTAATTGACCAATGTACCATAAGAAGTAGAAGGTGTTAAAAATAAAAACCAAGTGCACATATGTGGAGGCAAGTAGAGTCAGTGGTATGTGCCTAATATACCTTACTTTAATCTCATGGCTGGGTTTGCTAAACAAGATACAAAAAAGTCTCGCGTAAATGTTAAATGCATTTTTATAAAAAGATTTTTGCAATATTTTATGAATAAACATTGTACAATAAATAAAATGCAATTTAAAAAAAAAAAAAAGATTAATGCAACATCTTGTCGATGAACATTAAAAAAATTGTAGACAGGTTGTAAAATGGAGAATTATAATGAAATAATATCTAATATTTAATTATTTATGGTGAAATTATGTAAATTATGTAGGCCTAATGTAAAAAGACATTGAAGGCTGTGGTCAGCAGATATATAACTCTCTGATATATGTGAAGTAATTTCCTGTGTCCAAGCTAAGCCAACTCGTAGCCAGGGGTTTAAGGGGTTCAAAAGAACCTCCCTTTTCCAGAAATTAGGCCTGTATCTTTAAAATTTAACCCAACCATGGTGGGACTGAGGTGGGTATGGACTGAAAGTGCCCTTTTGTAAAAAAAATAGAAGCTTCCCCCTCTCTCCTCCCTCCCCATTAACAATCTTGCATACAGGCTTGCAGTAAGGTCTGTCATGGAATTAGACTCATTTATTGTAACTTGACAGGTATAGGCTTACTGTCTATTCATCATCATAACACGCTTGATTGTTTGACCTGGACATTTCTGTCCATTTGACCTACGATTGGTCTATAGTATATAGGTTCATCAAGTTTACAATGGGACCTCAATTGAAAGTATTCTATTTTATGGATGAGCACCAAGTCAGTGGCAGATTCGGCTGTTTCTCCTCCCCCCTAAACTTGGCAAAATAAAAAAATAATGGAGAAAGGAAGGAAATTCTATTAAAATTTAAGTCTGAGAGTGCCATTTCTAGCCATCTAGAGGTGCCATAATCATAAAGTGTCTTATCTTTCCCCAACCATGGTGGGGCTGTGGTGGGTGAATCCTCTATTTCTGAAAATCCTTCACTGGGCCCCCTCTATTTTGAATTCCTGGATTCACAACTGTAAGTGAAGTATTTGGTAAATTTTTGTCCTACTGTGTTCAAAGTTTATTACATAGTTGGGAAATACATATTCCAATTTTAATAATTAAACCATCAAATCCAAACGCAAACACAAACATTAATTTTTGACCCAAGGCAAGCAGCCCTCTTAGAGAAAATCTGGAGCCAAAAGTGCATAAGCCTGTATTCATAACCTAATTCAAACATAATTCAGAAGACTATAGTTTCTATTTCAACGCATATCATACCAGAAAGTTACAAAGCAATTTTATGAGTGTTTATTTTGTTTTGATATGCTTAAGGAACATAATCAAAATAAGCACACTCTTGAACCTCTTTTTGTTATATCTCTATAGTGATTGTTATTTTATGTAATCACAGAATAAATTCAAATTTAATGCTTAACCCAACATGTAGGCCAACTTAAAACCGGAATTCCGAATATATAGATTGATAGCAAAGCTATACCGATATGATATCCCATGGTAATGGGTACCGATATGATATCCCATGGTAATGGGTAGCTCTGATTGGGTTTTGGGTCATGAATGGGTGGTTTTGATTGAGTGGATTATTGTTTGAATGGAGCAGGATGTACTTAACCAACGTACCGTGAACTTATATAGAATAGGATGGCCATGTTAGGGATTTGTCTCCTTTGTACTATGTAGATGTGAATGATGTTGTTTTTCTTAATTTTAGGGATTTTTATACTTGACAATTCAATGTGTTATGACAACATTAACATAAGTACAGATGATTTCAATGACAGTTCATTTAAAAGAAGTAAACATCCAACATCAAGGTACCTGGTTTAACAATATTGTTGGTGATTGTCACCTCAGAGGGTGTCAATCATATCAACCAGTGTAGGCTAACATAACATAAAATATAACATTTAATATAAAAAATATATATAAATATAAAATAAATATAAATTATATAAATATAAGAAGTCATGTTTGTCCTACCTGACGTATGTTTTAAGTACTGAATGCTTAGTACATTCTCAAATGCTTGCAAAAAAAATTTCACAAGTGATTCAGGTGGGAATCGAACCCAGAACCTCCAGGTAACTATCCTGATGTCTTAACCGCTAGACCACCGAGATTGGGGCTTGGTGGCTAGTGATGAATCCTATCCCAAAGGAGTAGCGGGCACTTTAATGCTATTCCAATTGCATATTTTCATCAGGAAAAATGATACGTAATGTTGTTTGTCCTACCCGACGTGTGTTATGAGTACTGAATGCTTAGTACATCCCAAAATGCTCATGAAAACATTTTTGCAAGTGATTCGGGTGGAAATCGAACCCATGACCTCCAGGTAGCTAGCCTGATGTCTTAACCACTAGACCACTGTGTTTGCGCTTGGTGGCTGGTGATGAATCAGCAGGTACTGCAATGCTATTCCGATGGCGTATTTTCATTAGGAGAAATGATACAAAATGATGTTTGCCCTACCTGACATGTGGTATAAATAAGCACTGAATATTCAGTACATTCCCAAATGCTTGCGAACAAAATTTTGCAAGAGATTCAGGTGGGAATCATCATTTTGTATCATTTCTCCTGATTTCTCCATTGGAATATATAAATATAAAAAGGAACTATAGAATGCATCGCAAATGTTATCAGCAGTTTGCCCAGTGGTAGACCAGAGAAGATATAAATACATAAAAAGTGAGGTTCAACAGTAGCTTTGATATATATAAATACAGATCTGACTCCAAATAAAGACCACTTTTGTGACTGGGGTTTCCATGGTGTGTAGTACATTTGTCTCTAATTAAAGATAAAAATCCATTTGTTAATTTGAAACCACAGAAAACTGTTCTTTAATCAGATGTGGTCTATATTTAGAGGGGTTTTTCAATTAAAGGAACACCTGTTATAAGTATTAATATATAGATATAAATTTAATTGAATTCTTATATTTTATGATAATAATTTAGAATTGCAATTATAGTATCATTGGAGTGATATTTTGCCGTTCCCGACGTGTTATCTTACCGGATACTTAGTACGTCCTCAAATACTTCTTTCTATAGTATTATCGTATAATGTAATACATGCCTAATACTATTGAAATAATTAATTACAAATAATTCAAAGTAAAATCATTGAATAAACAAAATTATAGAATAAATATTAAGAAAACAAAAAAAATGAACAAATAAAATATTTTCCATAGGGATATTTCCATACTGTACTAAATAATAAAATATTTTCATTTTACTTCAGATTTTTGGTTTTTTATATCATTGTTTAAAAGAACTATCCAGTGATCTGAATCAGTGTTCCTAGTAACATTATAAGATAATATTTGTGGTTGGGAAGGGGCAGGGGGATGGTGATAAGATTATAGTAAAGGGCATGCACCATCTTACACCTGCTCTGCACAGTGTACATTGGTGTAATTAAAGTGTATAGGTAGCGGAAAACTAAATTAAAGTTGAGTTGATATTTAAATTGTGCCCACTAACCATAACACGTAGAATCAGTCATGTTCCGTTGTCAATATTCCCCTGCTGTGTAATGTTAAACATTACACCATTCTTGTCAGCAGTGTTTTTTTCGAAATTAGATAGGAGTAGGATATGATCCTAGTTAATACCCGGTCACCACAGACTGTTGGGCTAGCAGGAGGCGCCAAGCTGTTGCACTGCCTCTCAAATAAATTGCGCAGAAATGACAGCTTTGGCCCAGTTACAAACGCAGGGCATTTTGTGGACAAACCTGCATAAACACTTGAAGTTCTCTTCTTTCTACTGCATTACTTGCACTTTGCAAACCTGTTTTTTCTGGTTTTTTGGCACATTGCCAATTTTTGCAAAAACGGTTGGCTCCAAGATTATATTTGTGGCTGGAATATAAATGTGAACCTTGCAAGACTTTTCACTCTTCTGTTCAGTTTCATTTCCTTTTTGATTTTAATCGTACAGTTCATTTTCTGATTTACATCCTGTATGTGGTGGTAGGGAGGATTTTGTTTTAACTGGCATTTCTGTTTTGCATTACAAATTCTGACTATCATAAAATTTTCTTTGACAAAAGACTTTCATGCCCTTATTTAGTCATGATATGCCTATATATGGTCATTATGTTATGTCATCTGACTTCTCAAGTTAGTAAAATGCATTTCCGGTATTACCATGTCTTCTAGTTGTGGTAGTAAATAAAAATTCCCTAGCACCTGATGATTTATGGGGCACTTTCCTTGTGTTTTACAATAATTTATCAGTAATCTGACAGGTCTGAAGCCTAGGGTCGGTAGGGACAATGTAGCCAATGGTCCTGATGAAAAAATCATTGTCCTGGACTTTTAACAATGTGTAAACCTCCAGTATATACCCTAGACTAAAGATACATTTCTGTAGTGTCATAGTTTATTTCCATAAATAATTAGGCAAAATTTCCCTAGCAAGGATGTTCTGTTCCTTAGAACTTTAGAAGTCTGTATCATCATGACCATATTCAGGCATGTCACATGTTGTTACCAAAAAAATTAAATAGGGTGGACAGAACTTAAATTTAACCATCAATAGCATACCTTAAGTTGTTCCTTATCCTATCACCATATTTAACTGCTTTGTATCAGAAAACACCCTGCCAAATTTTGGTTTTGATTTGCAAGACCTGTTACCAGAATAGGCCTACTATGAGAGATTATAGAATTGTTAGTTATTTTTTAACATTTTTTATGATAAGATCATTTGATTAACAGTGTAATTATATTTATAGTTTGACATTTGTATGGGCAATGTGACTCACTGTAAAATTTATATTATGGATGAATGTGTCGCTTTGCTTTGTCGATGAAATATTTTTATACTATGGTAGTTCCAAATGTGCAATATAATAGGCAACATGCTAGCCACTGAACTTTTAACTAATTTCTATATGCCATTCTCTTAATACTCATAGCAATATTAGCATTGAGAACTGCTACTAAACCTTTCAACCATACCTATGCATTGGAATTAAGCAGCAATTTATGGTTATGGTTATTGTACCATGAATTGTACCATGAAACAAAGAGAATCAAGATATTGTATTTTTCATCCTGTTTATTACCTTCATTGTATAGCATCTGTTATCAGACCGCTGCGATATCAGCATCAATATTGAGAACCACATAGAATCAGATCACAGTGGAACCATCACCAATACTGAGAACCATAGATTTTAAAATCATGGTAACAAGTTACCGTGCATACGGGTACAACTTATTAAATCTGGATTCACATCAATGGTATAACATATACCACTGTGTGGTATCTAAAATTTAGAGAAATTTACCCACAACTAAGGTCGTTTTATGATGTAATACTAGGAACTTCACATTATTATTATTTAAATAAAAATCAACATTGTTATTGAAGACTATATCTAGCTCATAAATTCAATTCTACATTGTACTTTTAAGTCTGTTCACACTGCATTAAATTACTGTAAACATCCTGAATCTCTTATTTAATGTAATCTCCCTGATTCATTGATTCCCACAATGTTAAGGGAGGTTTCATCACTCCTACAATAGTGCACCCAATTAATATACTCGAGTAAAAGGTGTTGTATTTAGGAACCCAATGTGGTTGACTGGCTAAGAAGATTGCTTTCCTTTTGTACAAAAGTGCCAATTTTCAAACGAATGAATACTGACTCCTCAACGGTGTTGATTAAGCAAACAGAACCTATTGATAGCTTGAAGTAGATCCCAAACTGTTTTTCATTCCGATTCAATTCTTCACAGGAAAAGTGTTTCAACGGAATTCTGTTCTGTGATTTATTTAGTGATTTGATAGCATGCTAATGTGGTATTTTTAGCTATAAAACATAAACACACAAGGTTGGGTAGGTGGCCATTAGATTGTAATTCTGGTCATGACAATATCCATATTATATCTTCAAGTATTCTTTTTCCTTATTTATATGCAAGATGGCCTTTTATTGTTTTTTATTGTGTTTTTCTGAATGTTTTATTCTCTGGGCTTTTGTTAGTGTAGGTTATTATGTTCTGTTTATGGTTTGGGTGAAACGTGCGATTACAATGTAATTCTTCCCATCTTATGAACAAAAGATATAATGTACTAATTATTTCTTTGTCACATTATTTTTATTTACCTGAATAAGGTACTACTGTAAAATAATAAAACATCAAAGATATGTCATAGCCTAGGCCTTAATATTACTAAGAAAATTAAAGAATTATATTTTATTCTGCAGTAATTTTCATATGCTGTACTGTACACAGAACAACAAATATGTCTGATAAGAAAGTATAATGCATACTCTTAATGATGAGGTAATTAATGGCGTGTATATTATACTTGTAGTATGTATTATACTTTCTTAAAAAATATGTATTTTTTATTAAAAGTATGGGATACATATTATGGTTTTAACAGGTAGGCTAATCATATATAAAATCTTATTTTTTAAAGATTATTCCATAAATTTATAAAGTTTTCAGTTTTAACTGCAAATAGTAAAAATGTAACAAGCTGTAAACAGCTTTATGTCATGTGAAAACAAGTCTACATAAAATATTCCAAGACATTATAGGAGATCATTGCAGTATCTCAGGATTATTTATATATAAATTAATTTTAGTGATATCACAATCATAATTTGGCATTGTTGATTTTTTTAAGGATTGGTTTTGCAAGTTTTTTTTCGTAGGCAAAATGATATCACTTTCTTATCAGATTTAATGTACTGTAGATAACATCAGATCCTATAATGAAATAAAAACCCTGATATAAACAGATCTGTTCTCTGCGTGGATCATAACCCACAGCTGATACAGCAGAAACCTAAGGCATCTTATTTGCAGGAGTGTGAAAGGCATAATCAAGGGTGGCCTTGAAATTACTGCTACCCTGGACCATCATAATAGGTACCTGGGCATCCAAGTTATATGCTTGAAATATTAAATTATATCCTTATGAATTAAGTGTAATGTTTTTCATATTTAGTATAATATAATGTTATTATGGTAGTGTCCAATCATCAATTATATATTTTAATGCTGGAGGGAGACAAGTGGCTATAGAACACAAAACATACAAATAAAGAGATATTATCAGTGTGTAAAAATACATAATATAAAAATATTTTTTACAACTGGACACAGTGAAATTTGGAACATAATTAAATATTCAATATATTTATGAAAATTAAATTTTTTTTTTTTACTTATTTCTATTCTTATTGATTTACTTTAATGTTATTTTATATTTGTATTTCTTTTTCATATTTGGTTTTTCTTTTGATAATTCTTTAAATTATTTACTAAATATATTTCATCTCCATTTTTTTTTGTTATATGTATTAAGGGTCCCTCTTGCTTGATGGACCAACCTCACAGAATGTTGTTGAAATAAATAAATGAGTAAATATGTATATTACATAATAAATTTTACCTGCCTATTACCTGTAAATTGTGATACTACTCATTATTATTGATTTGTAAATATAGTATTAAAAACTGAAAATAATTTAATTTAATTTCTATACAATGCATTGTGATATCAAAGGTATCCACTAAACACCATGCTCACCAATATGCTACAGCTATATAGCTAAAGTGATCTTTTTTTTCTGTCAAAATTGGAGATCGAGCAACCCCCTTCCCCTTTAAGCCAGGCACCAACATCATTTTTTGGTGGTTTTTGGTGCATTTCTAAACTATGAAGATCAAAAAACTCACTGTGTGTCCGACTGATGAAAGAGATTGATTGACTGAGTTAGCTTAGCTAAGTTCTAATCAAAGTGCTGTAGTGGATGTAAACATATCAATCCTATAGATGCATTGATAAAAGCTAGTAGAATCAAATTACTGCATTTATACAATTATTTAGATTATTTATTAAATTATATTTTATATAAGTGACATATTTTTTATAAACGTAATTTGTATCTTCACAGCTATCCGTAATAATCAGACGTTGTCAGAATTGACTGACATCTCATTACCGGCCATCTCGGCCCCTCCAGTGCCCCATCCAGCTGCTAATCACTCGCAGTCCAATCACAATCAATATGAGAATCAATGCAAGCAGGAAGGTGCGGACAAGGACTGGACTGAGCATATATCCACCGAAGAAGGACAAATGTTGATTGAGGTAAACAAATCACAGTTAATTCTTAGCCCAGTAGACACAAATAAAAGACATCAGCGGAAAATCTCTTTGTGTCAATGGCCGTAGGTACACCCCAATGGGTGTCACTCGGTCGGCGTAATAATTTCAATTTATTGCATTTCCTCGTGTGGATATACAACCGGACCCCTTTTCTCATTGCGGATTGAAATTACCTCGCTCCGTGCACCGATAACTCCTTGGAAATTCTTTTTCCCGTCTGCCACCCCTTCCTCCTCCAATACACTAGGGCGCTACGGCACCCTGCCGCTTGGCTTGTTGGCCACTTTTTAAGAATTTTTACTATGGAAATTAATTTAGGGACAAATCGTGTGCGACGGTCCCTTTGCCTTTTGTCGTAATAAATCACGACCGAATCACACTATATCAGATCATGTGTTACTTTATTGTGTACAGTGTATTGAGAGTGGTGGTCGTCAAGAGTGGGTGGGTCCATATAGTTAATTCTTAGCCCAGTAATTGGTTTTCCCCTGACTATACTGTATATAGTACAGAGATTACATCATTATACTGGAGCTTAAAACAAAAAGACAGTAACTCCGAAAAGAGACAGAGACATTTTGAGATTCAACGTTTCGATCTATTTGATCATTTTCAAGAATACTGATGAGAAAATCTCATCCATCCATATATGTTTACAATATTTACAGAAGTATAACAGTTTACAATATTTAAAGAAGTATAACAGAAAGCAAATAAAAACAGACCAATCAGATTAAAAGCTTGGGCCATTAGGCGTTTTAAGCCTGTTTTAAAGTCAGACTCGGGAGGGAAAAAAAAATTTGATATGTTGTAGAACCGATTTTTCTAAGACAGAAAAAAGTTGTTTGATGCTTTATGCATAGGAACGTTGACGCCCGCACGGTTAAATAAAAAGACTCCGAAAAGAGACAGTCTTTTTATTTAAGACGAATTAGTGGATCATCTGATACTGTAGCTTAGTCAGTTGAACTGCCACTGTGTGTGTGTGTATGTGTACCTTGGAGATCCATGATTGGGAACCCTTGGTACCTGGTTCAATTCCATCCACTGCCTTCCCCATCCCAAATTCAGTATAATGAGTTTGCTAATCCCAATTCCATTACAATGACCTCTCTTCTTCCAATATAATCATCTTTCTCATCCAAATGCCAGTATCTTTTGTAATTAATCAACCCATATAAGCTTGTATAATAAATTTATGGTGAAAGTTACCAGAGATTCATTAGAATATCTACAGTAGGGTAGTTATTCCTGTTGGTAATTATTAGTGCCAGGGCGCTGCTCTATATAGCAAAATATTTGTCCTTGAAGCCTAGATCTCAGTTATTCTCCAGGGTGAAGTTGATCTCAATTTAGTGAATGCTCAGTGAGTGCTTGTAGCACCTGTGGTGCCACGACTGTGAACCAATTGCTGGAGTGATTAGCATCGATGAGCTAAGTTGCTGCTACATCTAACATGGCCTAGTTTTTTGCCAAAGGGCACAGGAACCTCACAATCTCTGCTAAGACATTTTTTTCTTCTTGTGCCCGTATCAAATTTGAAATTAATTACCATATTGCAGATATTATTTGACACCTTAATGGATAATACAGTGTATAAAAAGCCTTCGAGTTTTCAAAGTCATCAGGTTCGAAGATGATTCCTCACTTCCTGGATAGGGTCAGTATTGAAATCAATCTGTCATTTCTTAATGAGTTACAGACTGAATGACTTTATTGTATTAAAAGAGATCAATCTATACTGTATGCAGAACACTGTGAAAGTATTCCTTTAAAAGTATATGAACCGTTAAATACTAAATATTTAAAACCTTCCTGTGGGTCTCAACTGTAAACCCAAATGTACTATTACCTGTCAGACTGTTACCAGAATTTATTCATAAATTAGGTTTTTTTTTTAGCTTTATGCACCTTAATATGAATGTCTGAAAGTAATGTACTTTTTATAGAAGTAGGCTTCAATAATTGATAGATGAGACAATTTTGATAAATAAAATATAAAGATATACTGTCAAGATAACTGACATTACCTACAGTATTTTAATTAATTATGCAAGCTGCTTGTTAATTTTCAATGGATCACTTAAACTAGAATAGATGTAATACAGAATTTAAATTGGCAAGAATTATTCTGAAGCGCCAAATGCTTAACTCATAAAGACACATAAAGCACAAATTTAAAAGAAGACCTTGAATATTTAATTATTAACGCTCAATTTTAATGACGTCGGATCAATTTTTTTTCTTTAATTTTTTCAAAAAAACATGGTGGGAATGCGCTGTATAATAGACCTTGAAAAGAAAACAATAAACAATGATGAACCAATAGTATGATAGTAACTTTGGTATGGAGATACACCTCCACTGATAATTATAGACAATAATAAATTTTAAATAAATATTCAGTAATAGATTGTTTGCAAAGAATTTACTTTTCAAGGTAAACCACCACAATACAATATTCACTTAACCTCATATTGCCTGAAAATAAAACATGCTTTATGCATAGGAACGTTGACGCCCGCATGGTTCTGGTTTTTTAAAAACATATTTGAATATTTAAAAAAGGAAGCTTGGGCCTCTCTATTATCCCTTTTTACATATCATTAATTTTATTTAACTTTAAGTTCATTTAAGGTTGGTTGTGCCAGTGGTGATGCTGATAATGATTAATGGTAGATTTATTGGTGAAATCAATTTCCTTGTACATAATTACAATTATTTTCTTTAAATTAAAAAAAAAAATTTTTATCTTAAGGTAATGGCTGATAATAAGGGAAATAATTTCCTTTTGCTAAAACAGTTCTATATTATTATCTCTTGTGCAATTCATTTTTTTTTTACCTATTTGATGTAATTTAATTAATATGTTTTTGTATTTTGTACGCCAAATGGATCTTATCTTAAGCCACAATCGCACTGGACTTTTTTTGGTAAAACTAACCAACACGTTGGCTAGTTTTACCATAATTAGTCCAGTGCGAACAGCACAGGAAGTTTACCTGACAGGAAACTTACCCAAGCCGCGCGGTTAATTTAACCGAGTCCCGCTTGCCCAGGAAAACTGACCAGGTTAGTTTTACCTAGCAGGAAAGTCCAATGCGAACAGC